CCCGATCGTCTTTCCATAATTGTGTATTTCTCTCAATCATCTTCTTTGTTAATTCATTCTTTTCAACCTCCACAACTTCGATTCTTCCTTGATCCATACAATTCAGTAAGGTAATTTACTGACTATCTCCATACTCACATACGTAACTCCATCCACCAGCATGTGCTACCTCCTAGTACATCTTGCAACCCCATCCATCCTCATATGCTACCGCCTAGCACACCTGCCCCGACCGTTAAGGTTCGTCCGACCTGTCTTCGTGAGACTGCATCGCTTCTAAACGGTTTCGACTCACTCGGTTTCGCTCAAACTCTTGCAAGATATCTCCACAACTCAGACCGGCTTCATCCACTCAGCTCAGGTCGGGATACCCTTTCCATTTCACCAGAAACTGTCGATGCACTCGCCCATAACGGGTTTTCCGACCAGATTGCACGTCCAATATGTCTTCTACTTCATACTCTTCCTCCTCAAGATCGCTTTCCCAACTATCCTCTGGTAACAGAGCTTCATCAAAATCAAAGCGATCTGCTTCATCCATTGTAAGCTGGTCTTTCGGCCGCTCCGGAAATGTCTTCACCCTCTTCAGCTTCGATAGATGGACAATCGGAAATAAGCGATGGCGCAAATGGCAGTTTCGCCGACGGTAAAAAAAATTCGTTCTACCGCCCTCCATTAGATGCCACTTAAATGGTTAAAGCCTTCACACGTGGTGTGAAAGCTCTCCCCCTCATCCAACATGTTCATGTCGGATGAGATGGTCATGGTCGCTGGACGGACTACAAAGTGATACCAGGTGTAGCGGGGCACGCCTTGTGTCAATTCGACACAAGGTTGTGTGCATTCGACGTCACGCACACGTGGCGTGAGGAAGCGAAGCGAAGTAGGCAGAACTCGAAAGTTCCGTCTAAAGAAAAAGTAGAACTGTATTTAATAGTTATGTTTTTTTCAATAAACCATCTTTGTCTTGAGCTAACTATATTAAACTACAATCTCCTATGTGGGTTTCTTGCTCACCACCCATTGCGCGCGTCCAGCAGCGATTGGTGGTTAATCTGCTTGATGTACCGTGGACATCAACCATCAGGTGGAGCGACCCATCACAGAAATATTACCCTCGGGGGTAATATTCTTTTAACCTTACTCATTACGAGTAATGCCAATTGAACATTATCTAAATAGATAATGTTCAAAAATTGATACAAAGGTATCAATTTTTATGTAACGGGCTGACCCCGTTACACATACCCATTGTCAACTCTTCTACATCTCGTCATCATCGATCTTGCACGGCGCCGAGCTATCTGAGTACCAAGTATGGGTCTGCTATCGATTAGTGGTGAAGCAACTCAACCTTCATTTTGCGGGGAGAGAGCTTGATCCCTCTTGCCAAAGGCTTCAATGCTGCCGTGGGGATGTCGAGACGCCAGAACACATCTTCTGGACCTGCCCATGTGCATAATCTTGCTAGCAGAAACTTATTTGTCATTGGACGGCTGAACGCTGGGAATTGGGCCGACTTCAAAGCTTTCGCTCCCATGTGCCAGCCGGACAGCGCCGGCGCTGTCAACGGTGGTCACGGACCGTCTAGTGCGAGATCATCCAGACGAAGAGAGCGGCTATGCGCTGGTCTGGCAGAGGCTATGGCGACTGCTAAGCAGCATTTGTACAAACAATTGTGGGTTTAACGTAACCGCGTTGTTTTTCAACGCGAAGAGGTAACTCTTGCAGGAAGCGTCGAGGAATTTTGGCAAACAAGCCTGCGGCAAATTCGAGCAGTAGCGAAGCGAGAGTTTCGCAGGGACGAGACCAAGATTCAAGGAGCACGCCTGCTGTTGTGTCTGCGCCAACTAGCCAGGCAACCAAGAGAGCCGTCACCTACGGTGACCAGCCCCGTACAACCACCGGACTCGAACGAGGTATCGGCGTTGCTAACCAGGCTTGAGCTACATCAGACTTCCTGCAACCAGTAAACGGTTAAACAGACACGTCTGCTTTTCTCTATCATCGATCTCGCGGGCTGTTTTGATGCAAGTTCACAGATTTGCCACACAATCGACGACGACGCGCTCGAGCAGCAGCACGTAGCGGTTAACATCCATCCACAGGCGTTGGCTTACCCCACGTGTCGGGAGTTCGTTCAAACCAGATGACCACCACAATGGCCTTCACTCGACTGTTTTCGAACTCGGTAGCAGCCGAGAGGCAGAGGCTACAAAAGCTGCTGTCTAACGTCCCGTCGTGGCTAAACCGTCAAACCGTTGCACCGTGTCGACAAAGCTTCGGTCGCGGAAGCATAACACAGTCGTCGATCGCGACCGTCGCACAGTTGTTGTTGCGAGATGTCGGACTTGGCGAGAAAAGCTCTTGCTCTCGTTGGGTTTTCCAGCAACTCGAGAGCGCGTCCACTGACTCTTACTGCCCTTTATAACGGAAGCGACATAAGAGTCGCGCGTGGCGTGCACCCATTCTACACGCCACGACCGGGAAACTAGAAACGAGACTGGATTTTCTGACTTGATCTGACTCGTTGCTGCTGCTACTTCTGACCGCGTAAGGTAAGAAAAAAGCCTGCGGACGTCGCGGTCCAGAAGCGCATGTGGTCATCTGGCGCTGGCGTGTTACCATGTGGCGCTTCCGATTGTGGCGTCGTCGCGCGTGCGCGTGGCGGGCATCCCGCCCGTGACGAAGCTCCATTCACCAATTGACCCCGTCCCCACCACATCACATCACACGCCAGCCACGATGGTCCAGCACATTGCTCTCGCCGGCTTCGTCTTTGCCTCAGCCGCAGTCGCCTCCGCCAGGGCGGGCGGCTCGGCGCCGACCTTCACGCTGACCTTCACGAACAAGTGCTCCGTCGACATTGACCTCTACACGCGCCTCGCCAGCGTCTACACGGACGAACACGAGGTCCTCGCCCCCGGCGCGTCCGTGGACAAGCCGATTGGAAAAGGCTTTGAGGGCCACTTCCGCAATGGCTCGAACGACGCTGCCACGCTCATCGAGTTTGCCACGAAGGGCGACCTCGACTTGGCCTGGTTCGACCTTGGCATCATTCCGCCGCATCTGTTGTCCGGGCACGAGTTCTGCGCGAGCCTCGCAGACTGCAAGCTGCACTCAAAGAGCGGCATTGGCTTCAACACCCCCGTCCAGGTGACGCCCCTCTCCAACACGAACGGCGAAAACTGCCGCGAGCTCACGTGTCTCGCCGACGGGTGCGAGGACGCCTACAACTTCCCGCAGGACGACACCAAGACGCACTCGTGCCCGTTCGGCACGAACTTTGTCGTGACGTTCTGCCCGTCGGGCGCCACGACAGAGCAAGAGCTGACTTCAGGCTCGACGTCGACCACGCAGGAGACCATTGCATCAAAGCCGAGTCCTTTATCAGCAGACTCTCCGACGCAAGAGGCTGAGTCGAACGACAATGCCGGCAATGTGCCTGTCCAGGACGACAGCGTGAAGGGCGAATCGGAGACTGGCGTGGCCACGGACGGGACACCTGCGCCCGAGGTGGTGGAGCAGAACGGAGCACCCGCACCTGCGCCCGAGGTGGTGCAGAGCGAGACGGAGGCACATGTTCCTGCAGTGACGCCCGAAGTCGCTTCCACGTCCAACCACTGCGAGTAAGTGTCACGTCGTCTGTCAGACAGGTAGTCGATGGATGGTGGACTGCCCAGTCTGTGCATCGAAAGTGTGTCCACATGTGTTCGTTGCCAAATCCACGAATGTTCTTTTTGCTTTTTCTATCGCTCGTTCTGCTTTCTTCTTCTTTTTTTCCACTTCTCCCGATTGACGTTGCCGGTTCTTATACCAATTCGGACCAATTGTCATTTGCGCGTTGTTGCCCATTTGTGGGGCTAGTAGGACCCATTTGTTGTGGCGAGTAGGACCGATTTGTTGTGGCTCGTAGGACCCATTTCGCGCAACTAACAGGACCAAGCTTGTGCATTGTTGGACTACTATACTGCGACTAGCAGGACCATATTTGTGCGGCTTGTTTGGACCAGTTATGTGCTGCTGATAGGACCCATTTTGTGCAGCGAACAGGACACATTTTATTGGGCTGGCAGGACTATTTTTGATACCGTTACCAACAACTTCGACTCGGCCCTCTCTATCTCAATCGCGTCACCCGTCGCCACCTCACCACAATGGCAGCCCTCGCGACGCGTCTCGGGCGACTCCTGCCGCAGTCCAGCGTGCTCTTCGTCTGCGACATGCAGGAGGTGTTTCGTGGCCGCGTGTTCCAGCAGCCGACAGTCGTTCATGGCACCAACACAATGGTCGGCCAGTTACAATAGGACGCGCCACCGACTCTTGCACTGTATCCAGCAGAGAGAGAGAAACTCATGTGTCACGTATGTTTTCCATCGTGTCGATGGCAATGCTAATGCTAATGATACTGCTACTGCTTATGATGATGATGCAGATCTCGGCCGCAACGCTCCTGGATCTGCCAGTGGTCGTAACGACTCAGTACAGCTCTCGTCTCGGCAGCACTGTGCCGGAGATCGCCAAGAACCTCGAGAACGTGCGGGACGTCAAGACCTTTGACAAGATGAAGTTCTCCATGCTCGTGCCCGACGTGGCGCATCATCTGACCACCAATATGCCACAACGAAAGTCCGTGCTGCTCTGCGGCATTGAAACGCACGTGTGCGTGCTGCAGACGTGCCTCGATCTCTTGGACGAGGGCTATGACGTGCACGTGGTCTCAGACGCCGTGTCCAGCTCCACGAGCTACAACCGCACGATGGCTCTGAAGCGCATGCGCCAGTCCGGCGCCTTCATCACGTCCGTTGAGTCGGCCATCTTCCAGCTGGCCAATGATGCGAGCAACCCCGAGTTCAGGAGTATCTCCAAGCTCATTAAGGAGCACCTCAAAGTGGAGAATGGATTTGCAGGAGCGCAGATGTAAGGACGAGGCGGAACCAAGTGTTGGCGGTATGACGAAGATCGGTGCTACAGCAACGGCCGCTGATTGTTAGCGCAGCTGGTCAGTCGTCTCGAGACAACACGAAGCGTATGTGCGTGAATGTCATGTGTTTCATTGATGATGATCACGGAGGTCAGGTTTGTTGCTGGAAGAAGTCAAACAGCGTCTTTTTGCCGCTGCTCGAGACCGACTCGCGAACGAGTGCTCGACCGATCTCAACTCTAGCGACAGACTCTGCTGCTGGCCGTGGCCTCTTTCTAGATTCAGACCTGCTTCGCAGCACGACTTCCGCAGGTGCTTGGTGGGCACCAGGAGACTTTGCTGCTTGAACAGACTGAGCGTGCTTCGCGACCAGATCCTTCATCGATATCGCAGTCACCTTGGACGACTTGACCCCCGACACCGCTGCTGACAGCATGCTTGCTGAAACGGATGAACCAGCATTGGAACTGGTCTTGCCATCGCCAAAGCGCACCGTGCTCAGCGATCGTGTTGGTGTTGTCGAAGTCACTGCTTCATTTGTTACTGATGTTGCTGATGCATCCGTTGTTTTGTAGACGTCCAATATACCTTGAAGTGATGCAGCACGTTCGTTCGCTTGCGAGCGCTTCCTGTCTTCCATCTGTTGTGCTGTTGCAGCGGATGATAACCGTTTGACCTCCTTTCGTGTCGGCTGGCCAAGTGGTTCGCGACGCACGCTGACTGAGTTCTCAAACTGAGATATCGCAGCACTCTTGTGCTTCTGTGAACTGGTGGGGCTATCGGAAAGACAGCGGAGCGTTCGCGCACACAGTTCGCCCTTGTAAATTTGCTCGACGATCTCACGCGACTGGACTTCTCCGAGGAAGCTGTTCGTTGCGGTGGCTAGTGCATGTAGATCCACCTGCTGAGAGCTTGACATTGACTCCGCTTCGTCGAATGACGTGATACCAAGCGACCCTTTCGCGCGCTGCAAAACATCAGGAAAGCAGTTGATGTGTTTCTCATGGACGAGGAGCTCACAGTTGCGTTTCTTGGGATTGAAGACGATGTGGTGGAAGAAAATGGCCTCTGCCCTGACGAACTCCTGCATAAAGTCAGCGGGGATCTTGGTGCCTGAGCTTGATAGCTTGCTGACCAATCGCTGGACACGCAAGTGAGCGGGTGCACCACGAAAATTGAAGATGTGCTTGACTGCAGTCTAGCATCAGTGTCACCGTGTTGTGAGGTTAGTCTGTGACGAGAAACGAGTCAAAGCGAGTGTTTCAGAGCTTCGTGCTTACGGCAAATCCGACGTTTGGAAGAGAGTCGATAAAGTCACAGCCAGCTAGAACGCACACTTGGACAAACATGCGGGTGGCTTCTTTGACTCCTGATGTGAAGAAATGAATTTTTCTCAGCAAGGCGTTTGCTGAGACGCAACGTGTTGAGCACAAACAAAACAGTGAGAAGCCGACTTCACGAGCAGTGCTCGTCCTTTACCAACGTACAAGCAGCCTTTGCCGAGTTTTTGTGCAAAATGGAGCGCGACACGGCCTACCGAAGCAGAAAAAAACGACCCGGCGCGATGAACACTAGCGCACGGCAAGTATTCCATCGATTGATCAGCCTCCTGACCTGAGCTGCACCGTTGTCGTCTAGTTTGACAAGAACAGGGCACGAGACGTTGGCAGTGAGGCAGTACACTACCACATCCGAGTCCTCCGTTACAATTCCTGCTGCCAATCCCTCCTTGCAAAGCCACACCATCTGCACACAACACCAACCACGTAGTCTCGCGCCCAGCAGCAAGCAAGGTCGTTGTGCATTGCGGCAAGCAGCCAAACCTGTGCATCGGCTTCAAACGGTGCCACAACGAACGGGATTCTGGCTACTCGCAGCGCCTTCATCACAGTGGAAATGATTTGCGGGGTGATGGAGACCGACTGCTTTCTGCCATCGAAGTCGAGCGGCATCATTGAGTCCATACTGTCGACACCAGTAGAATCAAAAACAGCAAATGACCATGCAGCGCACCCTCTGGAAGAGCTGATAAGCCTTGTTGACTCCGTCTGAACGATCCGTTCCTTGCAGTTGCTTCGAGCCAGCCATGGCCTCCAGAGCTCGTCGGCGGGTCTCTTCCTTGTACCTCCGCCTCTTCTCATGTGTCAAGGACTTCACAACAGCAACAAGAACATCCAACACGAATCTCATCAATCTCAAGAGCCCTTCTTACCACCAGTGAACATCTCGAGCCGTTCGCCTCATTTGCTGCTCGACTGTACCTTTAGCGGCAGCCGCTGGCCATCGAACACGAGAACGATCTTGGCCACGCCGTAGCTCCGCATCATGTGCACCTTCCGCAGCATATACTGCACATACGCATCCGTCTCTTTGCCAGTCGAGAGCTCAAACGCGCAGCCATAGCAGCTGCGATGGACCAGTAATATACCGCAAGTATTTTACTGTGAGTCAAGAGCTACAACCCAAAGCGAGAGACAACGTCGCGGTCGTGTCGCTGCAACGCACGCCTTGTGCAGCCAGGAGAGTGCGTCAACGACCAGCGTCTGGCCGGCGAACTCCTGCAGATGCGTCGTGTCCACAACGTCGTGGAGCTGCCGCAAGAGGCCGTCGATGCCCATTTCGATCCGCGCTCAGAAACCGGTATTTGCAACGGTCCTCCTTTGCGCTCTACCGGTAATAGCACGAAACAGCCACGTCCTCGGCGTCATCGATCCCCTCTCGATAGTGACATCGGAGGCCGACACGCAATGCCGCAGCAGCAGCAGCCGCCGCCGCCATCGCCGAGCAGCGCGCGCGACGGCAGTGGCGACAACGACCTGCCGTCTTCTCTGCCGTCGTACATGCCACTACCATCGTCTCAGGGCGCGTCTGGAGGCGCTATCTACAGCTACAACCTGCTGAACCAGTCGCTGGCCAAACCTGATGGCGACGCGACTCCCCGTCAATGGAAAAGCCGTCCCGTTCGATGCCGAAGCACAAGCGCTCGGCTGACGGATACCGATGGACTGACCGAGTCGCACTTGAGCCGATTACAGCCCAGTCCGTCCGAAGGGATGCGGAGCATGACGTTCCAAGAGGGCGGGCGGTACCAGATGCAGCCAGCACAGGACACGGCGATGATGGGGTCAAGGGCTACAGACGTACCGATGGCTGCAGCAGGTCGGCAGGACGCCACGTCAGCTCCGCAGATCTCTGCTGCTCAGTTTGCAGCCAGTACAGGCGGTTTGTCGATGGATACGGCGCTTCTCGCGCGTGTGAGCGGCACGGACCCGTCGCTCATTGGCTCGGAAGATATCAAGCAGATCATGCGCACGCCCGACTTGCTGTCGATATACCAGAAGCTGCAAGAAGAAGACGATCGGAGACAGCGGCGCTTGGAACGCAATCGCGCGTCGGCACGAGTGCGACGTGAGAAGAAGAAGGGCATGGTGGAGACGTACGAGGGAGAGGTGTCGAAGCTGGAGAGCGCTTTGAATGTGCTCCAGAAGCACGAGTTTGGGACTGGAAACGCACGAGAACTGGCAACAGCTTTGGGTATGTCTGGGGATAGACACGTGGTATATGATGTGACGCGTTGGTCAGGAAAAGTGAACAGTGTGGTATGTGTGAAAGCAGAGTATAGCTCAGGAGAACATCTGCGCAACGCACTGCTGTGTAAAGATGCCAAGATGGAGCTGATGGCACGCATTCTTGGCCAGCACTCGAGAAATACAGACGCGGTATGGTTGTGGATAACACGACGTGGATGTGAATGTGTCGTACGAGGCAGCTGGAGAACTGACGACTGTGTGTTGTGCTCAGATCCGCCGTGCCAATGCAGAGAATCAAGCCTTGATTGCAGTGGCGTCGAACAACTCGGAGCTGTTCTTGTCCTTGCGAAAGCAACTGGGTCTTACAGATACGCAGTGTCAGCAAATTGCGAGCTTGGCGATTCCGGCCAGCGAAGAAGCACGCAAGCTGGATGCGATTCTCAAGTGTTTCTCCGCACTGCGAGCGCACGACTGGCTTTACGTGCCCGGCATTGAGGTGCGTCTCCTCTTCCACCGTGCTTATCGTGCTCGCGTTGTGAGGTAAAGCTGACATGGCGGTGACTTGTACTCTAGACCATCCTGCATCAATCGCGCAACACAATGACTCCACACCAGTTTCAGAAGTTCCTGTCTTGGTCCACGGAGAACCACTCGTCGATCGACCAGTTGCAGGTGCGTGGGAGGCGCGTCGACCGCAGGAAAACGCGAGTCACGAGAACTGACTTGCTGTGGCTCCTGTGCAGTTTGTACCGACAGCGTCTGCCTCAGACTCCGAGAACGACTTGACGTTTGTCTTTTCCGAGGACTAGTCGTGCTGGTGCAGCGTGTGCGAAGAGCGCTGCCGAGTGTCAAACATTGCGCCCACGTTGTCGCAGTGTGCTGCACGAATCGGCTCCTGTTCCTCGTCCAGAGAAGCAGCGTCTTGACGTCTTGCGCGTCGACGCTTTGTGTTGAAACGTGTAGCACGCACAAGACAAGACGAGTGCAGCCGAAGCAGATGAAGAAGCCAAACAACAACAAACATCATCAACGACAACAACAAGCAGCCGCCGCTGCAGCAGTAGACGTTAGACGTGTGCTCGTCTTCTATAGCGTGTCCTGTCCAGGCAAACGTCATCGCCTCGAGCGTCGGCCCCTCGTCGGCCGTTCTCTACATGTCGAGGAAGTTCTGAATGAGCGTGAGTCCGTCTTCCGTCAAGATGCTCTCGGGGTGAAACTGCCAGCCCTCGACCTTGAACGCCTTGTGCCGCACGCCCATGATCATCGTCGTGCCTTTCACCGTCGCCGTGACCTCGAGCACGTCCGGCAGCGTCTCGGGCAGCCCCACGAGCGAGTGGTACCGAATGGCGTTGAAGTCGGGCGCCATGCCCTTGAACAGGCCGTTGCCGTCGTGCTGGATCACAGACGCTTTGCCGTGCACCACTTCGCCCGCGTGGCCCACAGTGCCGCCAAAGACCTCAAACATGCACTGGTGGCCGAGGCACACGCCGGCGATGGGGATCTGACCGGCGAACGCGCGGATGACGTCGCACGAGACGCCGGCCGAGACGGGAAAGCCGGGGCCGGGCGAGATCATGATGCGGTCGGGTCGGAGCTCGCGGATCTCGTCGATCGTGATCGCGTCGTTGCGCTTCACGTCGACGGACGCCCCGAGCTGCGTCATGTACTACAGATAGAGAGACAGAGAGAGAGAGAGAGAGAGAGAGCAACAAACAGAGAGACAGATGAGCCATTGTGAGGGTATGGCGCTGTGCCACGTGGACGAACGCAAACGTCGCGCGTCTCGTCGTGACAGTGCGTGACGACGGACGGACCTGATATATGTTGTACGTGAACGAGTCGTAGTTGTCGATGAGCAGCACGCGATTCGGTGTCGTCGTCGTCGTCGTCATCTTTGCGGGTGGATAACGCAAACGAGTGCGCGCAAGAGTATCGGAAAGACTGCACCATGTCCCACGGTTCGATTGTCTTTTTTGCACGTGGGTTGCTACTGTGTAGCGTACACACATGTGCGTACGCCACATCAACAACCCCACCCCGCAACAGACTCGCAGCGGCCAGCCATCTCTCTCTCTCTCTCGAGTCAGCAGCGAACGGTGAACCCACTAGCGGCGACTCGCGACCGACGGACTCGACGCCATTCGACGCAGCGACGCCGCCAGCAGCTGTCACTACTACTACTGCTACTGCAGTTGCAATCGCGCGTCGAGACAGTCATGTTGCGCCACCTCATTGCCCGTCACGGCCGCTTGTCATCAGCTGCACTGGCCACGAGTTGCGTAGCTGCTGGCGCGTTTCTGGGCGCACAGCAGCAGCAGCAGCAGTCATTCGCCGCATCAGCCCAAGCTGAAGACGCGTTTCCGCGGGCCACACCTGTGGCCAAGCAGCCCAAGATCAACGGTCTCAAGATCTTCAGCGGTAATGCCAACCACGAGCTGGCGGCCAACGTGGCGAAGCTCGTGGGCGTGCAGCTGGGCAAGATCACAGTCGAGCGCTTTGCTGACGGCGAAGTGAACCTCATGGTGCACGAGAACGTGCGGGGCAAAGACGTGTACATTGTGCAGCCCACGTGTGTGCCTGTGAACGAGAACCTCATGGAGCTGCTGCTCATGGTGAGTACCATGCGACGCTCGTCGGCGCGTCGGATCACGGCGGTGATCCCGTACTATGGCTACGCGCGACAAGACCGCAAGATGGCGGCGCGCGTGCCGATCTCTGCTGCGGATGTGGCCCGTCTTCTGGAAGCGATGGGCGTTGACCGTGTGATTGCAGTGGACTTGCACTGTGGCCAGATCCAGGGCTTCTTTGGTCCACACGTGCCCGTGGACAATTTGGATGGAGGTCTCGTCGGCGTCTCGTACTTTGGCAACCACGAGCTGGTGAACCCTGTTGTGGTGTCCCCTGATGCTGGTGGCGTAGCACGTGCCAAGAAGTTCCGAGAGTGGCTCGTGGGGAAACACGGGCTGCCGAACACGGGACTGGCCATGATCATCAAGCAGCGCATCAAGGCTGGCGAGATCGACCGCATGGACCTCGTGGGTCAGGTCAAAGGCTCGGACTGCATCATTGTCGATGACATGATCGACACGGCTGGTACGTTGTGCAAAGCCGCGCAGCACTTGGCTGACCACGGAGCTCGCAACGTGTACGCGTTTGCATCGCATGGTCTGTTCAACGGCGCTGCGAGCGATCGCATCAAGGCGTCAGCGCTCAAGGAGGTTGTGGTTGTCAACACGACGCCGCTGCCAAAGAGCTGCGAGGGCAACGAGAAGATTGTCCAGTTGGACATTGCTCCGCTCTTGGCGCAAGCGATTCAGAATATCCATGGCAAGAAGTCGGTGTCCCAGCTCTTCCACTAGACACAGATTGATAGACTCGGCCAGCAGCAGACGGACGTGCAGGACGCAGAGGGGGAGAGTCGAGGCAAAGGCGAGCGAGCTACAAGCAGTCGAGCGTGGTCGCCAGGACAGAAGTTTTGCACACAGTATGTAATCCGACAAGGTTTCTTACAAACCTATTTACACCAACGCCGTACGTGTCTGTTGGTGCACAAAGCTCTGCTGCGCGTGACTTCAGTGGTCACCTACTGGATATACTTCGACCGGATGCAGTCATCGACACTATTGGCGACAGCTCACGTTCTCTATGAACCGCGTCGATAGCAGCGCATCGTGTTGCTGCGTCCTCATCACCTCTGTGTGGTTAGTACGACGGGAGTCTGCCGACCACGCGTTTGAGGCGACTGTAGCCATTTTCCCTCTCGAACGTTCCGTGAGACCACATGGGATCCAACTGCCGAGCGTGTTTACGCCGCCTGTACCATCTGTACGGTACGACGCCGTGGCGGCACTTCGTCGTCTCCGTGCTAAGTACGACTTCGATTCCTCGATCCATACGTCTCGACTCCTCCTCCTCGCGCTCGTCCGGATGGACCACCGCCGACGCCGTCGCGGCTCGTCCCGCAGCGAGAGCCACTCGCCGTCACGTCACAATAACCCCAAGTGCAGACGCAGAAGCCGCAGCCGCATTCGTAGTGTCAGTCGCAGCAGAAGCCGCAACAGAAGCCGCAGCAGAAGCCGCAGCGTCGTCAATGACGTGTCACGGTATGGCCCATCGAAACGGACGCGTGAGCGCGTTGGCCGCCACCGCAGCAGCGCCAGCCACAAGCAACGACGTTCGTCTCGAGACACGCATCGAGATAGACGGGACGACTCTGGTCGGAGTTGGGCTCGTGGTACCAGTCGAAGGAGTCGAAGTCGTAGCGCGCAAGTCCACACCGCCAGTCGGGATCGCGACTCGGATCGTCGGAACTCCTCGAGCCATCGACGCAGCTCTGATACACGACGACACCGGCCCAGTCCTCACACCCGTAGACACCGCGAGACCTCACGGGACCGAAGTCGGACTCGAAGTCCCAGTCAGAGCCGGCGCAGTCCCAGTCAAAGCCGGCGCAGTCCCAGTCAGAAACGGCGCAGTCCCAGTCAAAACCGGCGCAGTCGTAGCGAACAACGGCGTAGTCCCAAGAAGCGACGTCAAAGTGCTAAGAAACACGACCACCGTCGTCGCAGTGCGAGCTCAAGGGACGGCAGTGAGAGTCGACAACGACGCCATCGTTCCAGTCCTCGACGCCGCCGTAGTCCCAGTCAACAACGAGATCGTCTTCGTCAACGCAGTTCCAGTGCACGTGGACACGGAAGCCCGAATCGACGCCGTTCCAGTCCTCGCCACCGCGTCACTAGCGAGCATCAGCGTAGTCGCAGTACCTCACGTCGCGGTCGAAGTCGGTCGCGGTCTGTTTCTCGTCAGCGCCAGAGTCGCAATGCACGTTCGAGATCAAGCTCATCACCACGAGGCCGCAGTCGTAGTCGTCACAACGACCGGCAGGTCGCAGACGTGCCGGCGGTCGAGCAGGTGCCGGCTATTCCGGCTTTGCCAGCAGGTACACCGCCCGAGATGAAAGCTGCAAACCCGAGTGGGGTGCAGCACCATCAGATGGAGTCAATCGAGGAGAACAAAACCGCCGACAACCATTGCTCGTCTACCGCTGAAAGCGATGACCGCAGAGACAGCTCTACTTGTGGTGCTTCTCATGGCACAACTCATCACCCTACGCACAGTCACCGTCCGTTGCAACAAGATGCCAGTGCATCTACGTCCTCGCTAGCACCGCATGAAGCGTCGGTGAACTCTGTCGCTACTTCGGATCGAGCAATCGCTTCCCCTTCACGCGGTGGCCAGAGCAGTGCATCGACGCCCACAAAGTTGCCTGGTCTCGACGACACTTCGCGCACCGTTTCTCCTGCCGAGAACGCTATTCTGGCGAAAAAGCGTGAGAGCCACCGCGCGTATCTCAAGAGCAATAGCGATTTCAACCGTGCTCGGATCAAGTACGTGTCGATCGAAGCCGAGCTCCGTCTGGCCGAGTTCTGGCTGGAGGTCATGACAAAGAATCTCGAAGACGTGGGCAAGCGCATTGAAGTCCACGACTGGAATTTCCAGAAACTCACAGGCCAAGATGAGTCCAATGTGGCCTAAACACTTTGAATAATGATAGCTTGTTTTCTTAACCATGCGAGGTAACTCGTCTCGGAAGCGGCTCGCGCGGGGAACATGCACGAAGCCAATTTATCTTGGCCGCCTGGACTTTGGCGCCTGCTAGCTAATTTTACCGATTCTGCAAAACTTCCAGGATCAGGTCACGCGAAAGACTGGCAAAGCCGTCGGATTTGGTGACCATGTCAAAATTCTGCACCATGTAGGACAAGCAGATCTCACGCAGCCGATAAGAGTGCAGGTCGTCCGCGGACTGGAACAGTGCAGCGGCGTTTTCCACACTGATGCTCTTTTGCACGATGATCTCGCACAGTCCCTTCAGACGATCCAGTGTGTACAGATCAGCGGCGGCATATAGCTCGAGCGCCATCTCTGCCCCGACATTGACCGTGTCCACATAAATATATTCCAACAAGGCGAGGAACACCGGCACGCGAGTGTGCAGCAACGGTATTTCTTGCTCGCGTGACTCGCGCATGCCTGACGAGAACATCGCGCGGAAATGGTCACTGCGAGCGGCCAAAATGGCACGGTGTGAGTGAACTGCACGTCCTTCGATGAGGAACGTGACGTCCGAGAACTCGGCACTGTCAACGAGCTGGCGCATATCCCCGACGTACGAAGACGTCAGCATGGAAGCACGTAGCATCGCCACGGGGTCGACGAGGGCCACTGTATGCTCGTTGTACGATGCCACACTGACCACGCGTTTCCCATCCAAGACATCCACCAATCGCGGCAACGTGACCTTCGTAGTGTCGTTGTGACCAAGCTTCCCGTGATCTCCATTGCCCCACGTATATACCTCGCCGGTGTCTGTAAGTGCGACTGTATGACTCCATCCACACGTGATCTGAACAACCAGCTTATCCACCAGACTCTCTACTCGTGTGGGCGCCGTTTTGTTCACCTTGTCACCATGCCCAAGTTGACCGTGTTCGCCACCTCCCCACGTATACACCTCTCCTGTTTCCGTTACTGCTGCTGTATGGAAACCACCACAAGCCACCTGCTTCACACGCTTTCCCGACAGCGCATCCACAAAGCGCGCTACGGGTTGGTTCCGCTCCGAGTTATGTCCCAGACGGCCAAACTTTCCTTCTCCAAAGGTAAACACCTCTCCAAATTCACTCAGAGCTGCCGTGTGGAAGCCACAAGCAGAGATCTGGACAATCGACTTGCCGCGCAGCTCTTCCACTGGACACGGAAGGTACTGGTGACCTTCCGTATCTCCGTGACCTGACACCCCATTCTCCTTGTCCCCCCACGTATACACGTCCTTGTTCTCAAGCAGCACCACCGTATGGCGACTGCCACACGCCACCTGCCGTACCTGCTTGCTCTTGAGCGTCTCAACCAAGAACGGCGTCGAGTGACCCGTCTCATTGCCATGGCCCAGTTTGCCATACATACCGCCGCCCCACGTGTAGAGGTCACCAGAAACCGTGACAGCTGCTGTGTGGTAGCTCCCGCACGTGACTTGGCGGACGTTCTTGCCCCGCAACTCCTCCACGAGTCGCGGCACGAACTTCCAGCCATTGTCTCCATGTCCCAGGCGACCATCGTCCCCTCGGCCCCACGTATACACTTCTCCTTCATCTACACAACAACACAAAGAGTGCCAACAACAAGACACGAGGTGAGCGACCCACGTGACGCTACAAAGCATAGCAAAACGCAGTCCATCTCTCCTCTCGCACGAACCTGTGAGCACGACAGTGTGACCGCTGCCACACGCAATCTGCACAATGCGACGCTCGGCCAGCGCCTCGATCAGGACGGGGCGGTGCTGGTCGCTCGTGTCCCCCAGCCCCAGCTGGCCGTCCTCGCCTCGACCCCAGCTATAGACAGTCATGGGATCTGCCGCAGCGCTCTGTGGACAGACTCAGACGCAGACGTTCTCACTTCTGATGCGGTGTCTCCCACTGCGGTTGCTGCGGATGTATCCACTGCCGCTCCAGTTGCTGTTCTGCTGCGGTTCTGCTGCGATTCTGCTGCGGTTCTGCCGCTGCTTTCAGTGGCGTTGTGTTTGTCTTTTGCCGTCCGTTTGTGGCGAACGTTGCGACTCTACATGGGCTTTGGCCCCAGGCGACCGACGGACGCAGACGCCATACTGAACACAAGTCAAGCGAGCCGGCCCAGCAACATGAGGTGCGGTACATAATGTAGCCATTCGATGTCGCCATTGTCGGCCGTCAGCAGTGCAGACGCACTGTCTTGACAAAGTGGGCGCAGCCGCTGGGCAGCTGCGTGGGCAGAGCCGACAGCGCGCAAGTAGACGTGCAGCTCTCTGTGTGTGTACGTGACAGGTGTGTTGAGGTGCAGGTGCGGACGACCGGACGTTCGTGCGGGTCTTTCCCTTGTTGTGGTGCCCTGGACGTACACATGGCACGAGCCCTTAGACCTCATGACTCGTACGAGGCGGTCCTCATGTCGAGAAAGCGGTCGTGATGGACGAGAAGCTACTGATGTGTGGTGATGGCGCGAGACAGACAGAGCTGAACACGACGAGATGACGAGCGAGTTTGTGGCCACACTGGCGACGGGATCATGGGGTGAAACGGAGCGCTGCAGACAGAGACGCCCAAGCGTCAAGTACGGGCAGACCTTCTGCACGATCGAATGTGTGTGCAGGCGCTACTTGCGCGACGGCAAGACACGATACGCGTCTGTGATGCAGCACACAATGTGGAGCGCTGGAGGTTATGCTCATGTGCTCGAACGACGTATCGATGATCATGCGAGCGTAGAGATCTTGTCGTCGGGTGACGACTGGTGCAAGAGTAGAGATGGAGCACACGCTGGCATCTCCCGGCGCAATGACGAGGTCAGACACTGTAGTACAAGACCACATGCGCAGCTTGTTCCAAAGCGTCGATGTAGGCCTCATGCGTTCGCGGATGTGGTGCTGGCGCTCATGTAGGTAGACCAATGGCCCGTGCGAAATGCCGTCGCGTGTGTAACAGCAGTTCTGTGCAGTCACGTCCATGTCTCTTTGGCTTCTTGCAGCCTCATGTTTCTGCTACCGGTATACACATCTACGCACGCGATCACTTGCTGCATGACGGCTTACTCAGAGCCTTGTTTCTGGACTGCAGCACAACCAGTGTACAACCGTTGCGTTCCTTCTGCGCCGTGCGATGCTGCACCCTGGTTTTCATTGCGTTTGCGTAAGTGTTGGGCATAGCAACGTTCATCGCAACTTGTGTCGATCAAATTCGTCTTAGATGGACCCGTTGGCGCCCTGTCACACTCCACGACATCTTTCCTACGACAGTGCCCATCGTGCTGTTGCACACGATCTACTCTTCGTCGTCGTGTACATGCACCGACAACAGCGACGGCGATCCATTGTCATGCCCAGCACAAGCAAGCTTCGCCAATTTTTCGTCCAGTGCCCTCATTGCACGTGCCCTGCAGAATATATAGCAACGCGGAAGCAACGCACAATGTCAGAGACGCCACAAACCAGTAGCAATACTCAACTATAGTGTACCCACTTTCGACGTTCAGCGATCGGGTCGTTCTTGATTTCCTGCTCCATTCACAGACATACACGAACTTAGCAACGCAATGATAAGCTCGTACACGTGTTCCACAGCTGACTCATACCGTAAGGATCGGCAGCATCTTTGGCTTCTGTGCTGCACGCGTCTTGAAGAATCCGCAGAGCTTGACCACGCTGAAGCAAAAGTTTGCGAGAGGGCTTGCGAGTGGCCTATCAAAGTGCAAGACGTCAAAAGGGAAACAACGCAACAAGCAAGACAACCAGCACAGCTGCACGTACATGCAGAAGTCCGGAAGCAAAATGACCAAAGCAAATTCGTTCGATACATCGCCCACTGTCCGGTCCCGGTTCTTGTTAAGAAAGCGGAGGTAGAACCATCCGAAGTAGCCTCCGAGCACGGAAAACGGCCCAGCACTCACGAGTATCGAACTGACAGCCGGAATAGCAGTGAACGTCATTCCAGCCAGCGTGCAGAGCGAGAACACAACGCATGCGATAAGCGGGTAGAACTGCAACACAACAGCACAGAATTGTAAGATGGACGACAACAACAAAGTAGTCAGGCGCGCTACAAAAGCGTACTCGGAGCGGGACTCCTGGAAAGAATGGTGCCGTTGCCAATGGCGTTGGCTTCATAAACGCAACCAGCAAGGCCGTGAGTCCACCTGTAAAGCCAGAAAACGTTGTGTCCCTAACGTCAACAAAGAATAGTCAGTCGCCTCGGACATTGACATCACTGGCAGCAAAGTACACGAGCAAGTAGCCAGTACAAATAAATCGGGTTCCGGGAGACAACGTAGAGCACAAAGAGGTTCACGAAAAGCACCAGCGACGCTGCAGTATTCGCAAACAGCAGCAGTCGCACGAGGTTCAGCGCGCCAAGATCTGGCTCTACGCGCTTTGCAAGACCGAACGCCAACGGCAGGACAAAGACCAGCTACATACCAGAACAGAGTACACACACGCGTCAGCAGCGTGTACTAGCCACTACCGAGCAACATGGCACAACAAAAGTAGAAAAGGCAAATGCCACAGCACAAAACCTGTGCAATGGACGGATGGTAGAAGCCAGCGGTGACGTAGACCCACGGACGGATGTGGCGGAGGATCACACTAAAACAGTCACACAAAACAATCCAATCAGTCAGTCATTTCGTCAGTCAGTATGTTCGTCCAGTTTTTAACTGTCCAGTCGGTCACACGAGCCCACGACGTGCAACGGACTCGACGGTAGCAGCTACAGCGACCGACTCACTCTGCGACAGACAGCGCCAGCACGCCTCCTCTCTCGTCTATCGGCGTAAAGACAGCGCCCAGGAGCCACAGGAGCAGCATGCTCAGCACGAGACCGACAGACGCTGGAAGCTGTGCAACATCGCAAACGTCGCGTCAGTGCGCGCACGACCGCGTGTCAGTCTGCAACAAGCAGTCCGTCCGCAGCGTACGCACCCGCATGTTTGTTTGCGTCGCGCGTGTGGTTCAGTAAGTGCGGTATGCTCTTGCGCAGTGCCGTCGGGCTGGTGTCCGTACTTATCCACAATCGCTCGTGCGTACTTAAGAGCGCGCACATCCGTCGACAGATAATGCCGCACGACGAGGCGCCACCGCCTCCGCCGCCGCTGCCGTCGTCTCTCGATGGCGCGTACGGCTCTCGCAGTCGCTCCCTGTCGCTCAAATCCGACGCAACAGGTCCGCCACGTGTCGCTCCTAGTACGCCCATCTTTGGTCGCCACCGCAGTCTGTCGTCGTCCCGCGTCTCTTCGGTCGCGGCGCGTCCTCCTGCTACAGCCATTACAGACGACGACCCGCTCTCGCCACAAACGCGACGAGAGATGGAGAAGCGGCGCCAACAGATGAGCAAAGACGTGAAGAGTCTACAGGCGAGCACGAACGCCACGTCCAGTCACGTCGGCGGCACGTCGTTCTCTTCCAGCGGCACGAGGCACAGCATCGACAGTCTCGAGTTCCAGCCACGACATGGCGCTCGGCCGTTCGATCGACAGGCAAAGCGCTCCGTGGACGATCTGACGCAGCTCTCTCCGCACAAGGCCATGCTGAGCCGCGTGGATAGTCTGTTGGGCTCGCAGCCGCCGCTTGGACATGGTCCGTCTGCTGCTGCTGTTGCTGCTGCTGCTGCGACTACTTCTGCTTCTGCTGCTGCTTTTGAGTATGGCGGATCGTCAGTGGGATCTCGTGCCAAGTACGCGGCACCTTTGAGCAACATGATGCCGTCTGTGGCTCGACCGTTCCATCATCGAGGAGAGGAATCGAGAGAACCGTCGAGTTGTGGGGCAGAAATTCTGTACAACTCGCCTGTTCGGTTGAGACTTAGCAGCCGACAGTGTCTGAGGATATCGGCTGGAGAAGACAGCAGCTCGCATCAACAGACCGTGTCGGCGCACTTGCCGCCGAGGCCCATCGTTGGACCAAAGACAGGAGTAAGTAGAAATACAGGGATCGCTCGTGCTACGAGGCAAGCGTCTCTTGCGCAAATTGACGTGAGCGGCAATGGACTGGACGGCGACAGCGACCAGATTTTTGTGCTGCAAAACACGACACTACGATCAGACTGTGGAGAGGTCCATTATTCGGATGTTGTGTCATTGTACTGCGTGGGAGGAAGCTGCAGAGGGCAGTTCTTGTCGGTGGATGCAGTGACCCAGACTCTGAGCACGAAGAAAGGACCAGTGATTTCTAACAGTGAAAAATGGAGGATTGTAAACCCTGCTGCTGAAGGTCGCGGGGACTATGCGGGAGGCAACAAAGACTCTTTCGTGTCTGTTGACACTGCTAGCAGACTGTGGGAGCAACAGAAAGCGATTGCAACGAATGACAAGGTGATGCTCAAGATGCATACCGCTGACCTGTACGTCTCTGTGCGCCCCGAAAGCCTCGACAGTGGAGACTCGACCGCCTCGTCCGTCGTACTCAGCAAAGAAAATGACGGGATTGATGATACCATACAAGTCTGGAAAGTCACAAAGTCAAACCTTCCGTACGATCCGGAATGGAATCGTGAGCGCCCCTATCTGACTGGCGAGGCTCTTGTGCTGCCGAAAGCGAAGCGACACCATGCTGCCGATGATGACGATTCGACAGTGCCTCCACTGTCCACGTATCCTCCGTCTGTGCAAGAGTGCATCATAGTAGACGACTTGTTGTATGTGCTTCTCGGCGTAGAAGGCCGCTACATCAAACTCGCGGCTACGGAGACTTGTGGCGTCGATGCTGCCAAATCCACACGATCGTTCAAATTCGGGCTAAGCCAACCTGGAATGGATCCCTCTCTCCTGACCTTGGCATCTCGCTGCTTGTCACTGGGCGAGTTTTATCTGACGATAATGCTGTACATTGAGCAGTACTCTCGATACGAGTACGGGCAGGTGAACCACGCACTATGCGCGGCACTAAAAGCGCTGCTAAAGGAGTACAGGATAATGGTGGGACAGCTCGAGCACCAGACACGAAGCGCTGTGCCGTTCACCATCCAGAAATTGTGGTACAATGTACAGCCGAGCTTGCGGACATTGGAGATGCTGAGTGTGTTGGTGACGGCTTGCCGCAAGACCATTGGCGGTGGCTCGTTGCTCACTCGGATCCAGCAGACAATGTCGTCGCTGGCAGGTGACTCGAATGCACGCAAGGTGTTCTCGTTTCTAATGGAGCGCGCCAGTGTGCCGTATTTAAAGATGGTCGAACGCTGGATATACCACGGAGACCTAGTGGACCCTTATGATGAGTTTATGATCCGACGAGACGATCAAGTGAGCAAAGAAGATGTTCAAGACAACCCGTATTCCACGTACTGGCAAAGCCGCTACACAGTTCGTGCATCACAGGTGCCGCTTTTCCTGTCGCGTGTAGCGCCAAAAATCTTGACTGCGGGCAAGTACCTGAATGTTTTCCGTACGTGCAATCGCCAGGTAGATTGTCCGTTCGCCGGTGAGATCATGTTCTCGTCGAGCGAATCGGTATACGAAGAGCTGATTGACAAGGCGCATGCTTTTGCGAGTAAGATGCTGTTGAATCTGTTCGTGCGGGAAAACGACCTTGAGAACCGGCTAGCCTCGCTGAAGCACTACTTCCTAATGGATCAAGGAGACTTCTTTGTTGACTTTATGGACGTCGCTGAAGAAGAGCTGAAGCTACGTGCGGACAAGTTGTCGCTGTCTCGCCTAGAATCGCTGCTCCACTTATCACTACAAACGTCTACTTGCTCTTCGGACCCATACAAGGACGACCTTCAGTGCTTCCTGTCACCGCACAACCTCATTTCTCACATGGAAGCGATTCACCAGCGTGCGCAAAAAGGGCCTAGAGATTCACTGACGACGTTTGAGTCTTCGACCATAGGTCAGCCAGGTTACAAGGTGATTGACGCATTCACTCTTGACTACAACGTCAAGTGGCCTTTATCGCTCGTCATCTCGTGCGGTGCACTGACCAAGTACCAGATGATTTTCCGGCATATATTCTTTTGCAAGCACGTGGAACGCCAGCTTTGTGATGCCTGGCTGAACCACCAAGCAACGAAGGAGTTGTCACTGCGCTTTGCCTTTGGGCCGTCGTTTTGCTCACGGCAACGCATGCTACACTTTCAGCAGAATTTGGTATACTACATGATGTTCGAAGTCATTTCTCCGCGGTGGCACGACTTCCAGCAGCAACTAGCAACTGCGGGCACGGTGGACGACATTTTGGAGTTTCAAGGCGAGTTCCTTGATATCTGCTTGAAGGAGTGCTTATTGACGGACCCAGAGCTGCTGCGGGTTCTAACGAAGCTCATGACAGTGTGCATGACGTTCGCCAACAGCATCGAAAGCTTCACGCGGCCGTATTTTCTCGATGAAGAAACCATCAAGGCTGAACGCGAGGCTGAGCGAGATCGCCGAGCAGAGAAGAGGGCGCGTGAAGAAGCGGAAGTCGCTTTGGCGAGCTACCAGCGTCAGAAAGGAACGTTAGGCGGGAAGAAGAAAGGCAGCACACTGAGGCGCCGGCAGTCTTCGCAGGTGGATTTGCGGCGCACACGCATCAAGGTGTTGTCCGATGACGTGAAGCGGGCGCTGACTGAGCGCGAAGGCGACGAAGAGAACCCGTTTGTACGAATGACGAATGACCTGGGGAACCTGTTTGACTCGCTGCTTGGCGAGTTTATGCAGCAGTTGCTACGAAGGTCGCTCTTGCAGGTACTGCTCTTTCAGTCTGCATACCCACACTGACGTTCTTCTTGTGCTGACTCATCGACATCCATCTCACTTTGCTCTCTTGTTTACAGCAAAATTCGCATCTTTCGAATCTGTGCACTCGGCTGGACTACAATGGCTTTTACACCAAGTGACCTCCACGACACCAGTACCAAGCACACACCGGCCGCGATAAGTTGTCAGACCGGACTCTCGTCGCAACGGTCACGTCAAGCTCCTGAATGAATCGTTATTTACAACGCTTGCAGTGAGAAAAGGCCTTTAATGGCACTTGACGGACTGACAGGCTTCCAGCTGTGCTTTATGATGGCAGAAAGTGAAGCGCACCCAGTACATCTGTATTGCCCGGCCCGTCCTCTTGTGCCCACCCGCGCTGGTGGCATTCGCACGGCACCTTTCACTTCCACAGCACGAAAGCTCCACTGAACGACTGCTGGTGCCAGCAGGCCATAGCGGTAACGTTCGCGCTGCTGACAAGCGACACCGTAGCTACGCGCATCGGTCGTGTAACGACTCGCCAGACGACCAGGTACGACGCTTGCTCCTTTTGTCTCCTGCCCGGCTGGGCTCAAGCAGCCAGTGTGCAGCGCGGAAGCAGCGAGGGATCGTTTCGAGAAGCTCGATGCTCATCATCAGTCGAGAACTGCTCCACCACCAAACCCGACATCCCTTCGTGGCTCATTACCCCAACACAACCGCAAGCTTCACCTCAGCTGACTGCGAACTCGCGCCAGTGGAGTCAATTGCCGCTTGTGCTGGACGATGTTATACCGACAATAGGGGGCGAGTCTACGTGCTGCAGACACCATCACAAAGTGCAAAAAAAGCGTTCGCTTGCTCCGTACATCACCGAACGACGTGCCTCGCTGTCGACGTTGTCGTCATCGATTGACGTCCGAGTGGCACAAGCCCGTCCAGCGCTTCATCTTCTCAGTGCAACAAGTGCAAGCACACGCTCCCATTACTCCGATCAATTGTTCTCCATGACAGACACGGATGGTCAGCAGCTTACACGTTACCCGGCAGCCAACATCACTCCCTCTGCTAACATTCGCCGTACTTCCTGCACCGAGTCGATAAAGCTTCTGCCGCTTGACCGTCTACAAGGAGCTCGACAAGACCATGCGGGCGTCGGACCCGCCAGCTGCAACCAGTGGGGATGCGAGCGTTCCTGTCGGATCGCAATGATCGCAAGTGCAGTCCAACGTGGCACGTGAGTGTCCGCTTGGCATCTGGTACTGTAATGCACAGCAACAGTCTCATCATTGACGACAGCAAACGTCCGGGCCGTAGCACCTGTCAGCAAGTGCTCCTCCGCTCGTAGCGATTGTCGCCGCCATCTGTGGGCTATTGATCACAAAAAGCGATTGCAGTCGTGGACACCCGCAGTGGACAAATCGTCGCTCTGTCCCTTTTCTCCATGTAGAAACCCCCTGCGCTTGATCCCACGGCACCCACACGCATCTCCTCACAGCTTCACCCGACCGCAACGTCTGCGTGAGTAGCAGTTACCCCATCGTCGATATCCTGAACAGCCGCGACGAAAAGGCTCGTCGGCCATTAGCGTGTGCGGCCTCTTTCTACTTTGGAGCTGCTCGAGTTCGTTGGGCCCGCGTCCCTGTAGCGTATAGAGAGCAATGGGTTCTGCAGCAGCAGCAGGTGCTACGGACGGACGGACGGACAAACAATAGACAGGTACATTGGTCGTAAACACACACACACACACAACACACAGACACACACAGACGAGACGAGCGCATCACCTGATCCTCGACGCTGCCCCAGCCGTCGATCTTATCGTAACGTGGTCCACGACGCCGGCAGTCGGCCCATCACCTCGCGGTCCTCACTTCGCGGCGACGGACAAAGAAGCGCCCGACTGCCCGTTGCACACGGCCCGAAGATCTCTATACGAACGCCCCACGCACGCACTGCTCCAAAGGGCAGCAGCGGTGACGTGAAACTCGCGCTGTCGGGCGAGGGAATGGACCTGTGCCAGTCGCTCGGAGGCGCAGGGGGGGGCGCGACGTTCGGAGGACAGTGTGGAAGCACTGCGCTCGAAGCGGCCGCTGCGTTGTCTGACACGAGAGCCTTTGGAAGGGCAACAGCAATGACAGAGACGAGCTGTGCAGACCCTTTCGGTCTCTTCACTGACTGTGCCGTCGAATGTGTCACGCGCGACGTCAAGTGCTGCGACCGTCGACGTACTTTCCGTTGCGGTCGCTGCACTGTCTGTTCGCGTGTGGGTCAGCTGCGACAGCGACCGCTGGACGGCGTTCTCTATACGGCCGCCGTGGACACAAACACTGCAACAGGTGGGGACAACGAGGACGACGACAGCAACGACTGCAATGATGGGGATGGCCGGTCCGAGACCGCTCGTCCTCGACTCGATGTGCAACATGTGCGTGCGGGACGTGTCCTGTACGGCCCACAGGAGCAGCTACGCCGGACATGACAGACGTCGAGTAGGAACGGTCGCGTGGTCACGGCCACGTCTTGTTTGCGTACCAGACGTCGCTCAAGTTGGACCACTTTCAGCGTCCGAGCGCAACGTAGAGGAGCCACGAAAATGGTGTCACGAACGAGACGGCGGCAGTCGTGTAGCGAACGACCTCGTTCCAAAGCGAACGGTGTGCTGTTGCAACGAGCGTTACGCTCGTGTAATTCTCACACGCTCGAAACCGGCTGCGCACTTTGCGTATCTGCACCGACGACGACAAGGAGATCGTTTTTTTCCGACAGTGCCGAACAGCAGACGCGCGACATCTGTTGTTGTTGCGTCTGTCGCTGTCTTTACGGCGATTCTGTGCGCCACCAGCGGCGCGTGTGCTGACAGCGTTTCCAAGTGGAGAGACGCGTGTGTCTCTGTCTCGTGATCGACCGCCGTGCTCAATGTCCACGACCTCTTCGTGTGTGGACAAACCATTGTTGACGGCTGCGGGGACAACGGCTTCTCATGTGACACGGTGGGCTGACTTTGCCAAAGTGGTCGTAATCAGAGCGTCCATGTGGCTGTGGGACAGACAATCGAGCAAACCGGTGTCGGATCTGCGATCGTCACCTTGACACGAGCTGCTGCAAGCGCAGTCGCCAATGGCTCTTGTAGCCTCATTTCGATGGCAAACGCCCCGAGGTGCCAACAACGTTAGCCAAGCGCAAGACACAGTGACAGGGAGGGGGTCGACCGACTGAGATATGTGCTGACGACGATGTAGGAGCCATTGGCATTGAGCGCGCAACGATCTGACGACACTGTCGCGCGCCAACGACGTCGTCGTCGTCGTCGTAACTTACGAGTGACAGCGTGTACATGGGTGACGTGCCTTCCTCGCCACTTCTTTTGCCCGTGAGGCGAGAGAGCTGTTCACGGTGCGACCATGTAACGACAGAGTGGACACATACACAAGTGGATAGTCGCGCTGTTGCCGAAATGCGGCTGTATCTCCTCGAGTTCGCTCGCGCCACTTACCGCTGCAAGACCAGCCCGACCGGCAGCAGATCTTCCTGTCGAGCGTAGCCATCTCGATCCAGCACTTGAGCGTCGGCTACCACAGTGCTGACGAAGACGCGCTCATTTATCGAGTCAGAGAGACGCCACCGGATACGACGCCCTGCGCGCTCGAGCGCCTCGTGTCAGAAACTGCAGCCAGACAGAGGTGCGGCCGTCACGCGCGCGCAGGGCAGTAGGCCCAAGACGAGTGAGCCACAGGCCAAAGATGGCCGTCCGCCTGGTCTAGTGGAAAGCGCGTAACGCCACATTGAAATGGCTGTCGTCCGTGTCGTCGTCGCGAACCTCTGCAAGCTCAACGCGCTGCCGTCACATTTATGGACGACGCAGAGACAGCCCCAGGCGGCACCTGCGCTTGCCTATCCCCTGCGAAAGCACAGTCACAGTAGACACTCGAGCGTTTCCACGCGGCACCACGTGACGAAAAGCGAAAGCCCATTGACGCAGCGGCACTGGACGGACGAATGACCTCTTTAGTCGAGCGAAAACGCCTCGAGCTCTTTCCCCCTCTCTCTCTCTCTCCATCGCTCTCTTTCCCCCTCTCTCTCTACCTCTCTCTCTCTTTCCCTCGAGCGCAATATCTCTATCACTCCCTCACTTGAGCGAAACAAAACGTGCACTCTCGAGCGCTAACTGTTGCTGCTCACCTGAACGTGCGCGTCGTCTGTATTACCTAATCAGGCAGCTGCGCGAGTCGGTCCAGAAGAGCCGGTGCACCTGTTCATTGTACCGACAAACGTGATAAGATCCGAGCCGCGGCCACGTCTGCCGGCCGGCCGGCCGGATCGTCTGTCCGTCCGTCCGTCCGTCAATGTGAGTGTGTGTGTGAGTGAGTGTGTGTGTGTGTACGTGTCCGCCCGTCTGTCCAGCTGCTGTCCGGCTGTCTGTTCCGTCTGTGTCCATGTGGCCCACAACCGGACGCCGCGGCCGCTGCAACCGGACGCCGCGCCCTGCAACCGGACGCCCCCCGGCGCCTCATCGGCTCTCGTCACAATTGTCTTTGCAGCAGCAGCAGACAGACAGACAGACAGACAGACAGACCCCACGCGCACTCTAATCGTCGCGTAGTGCCCATCGACACGGAGCTCCTCCCCTCTCTCTCTCTCTCTCTCTCTCTCTCTCTCTCTCTCTCTCTCTCTCTCTCTTGTCGTTGCCCTCTGCTTTGTCTCTGCCGCAATGCAGTTCTCCATGCCCACCGCCGTCGAGCGCGTGCCCGAAGCGTCCGCGGCCAACGGCGACCAGGAGCAGGAGCTCGAGGAGACGCTCTTGCGCCTCGCGGCGCGCATGAAGCAGAACGTGGCCACGGGCGACCGGCGGCGCCACCTCTTCAAGAAGTACCGCGACTGCTTCACGGGCATGGAGGCCGTGGACTGGATGCTCGAGCAGATGGAGGCCAAGAGCGTGGCCGAGGCCGTGCGCAAGGGCCAGGGCATGCTCGCGGGCCGCTACATTGAAAAGGTCGACAAGGAGACCAAGTTCGAGTACCACAAGAAGCGCTTCTACCGCTTCACGGCCACGACGCCCGAGTTCGTCCAGGCCGTCGAGCGGCCGCTGCCCAGCGCGACGCTCGACTTGCCGCTGAGCGCTGCGGCCCGTCGACGGGCGCTCGCGGCGCTCATTGGCGGCTTTGTGGCCGACGCCGCGTCCACGTCGCTCAACGGCGTCTCGCACCCCGAGAAGACCATCCCGAACCTCTTGCGGCTCGACTTTGACCCGGCGTTCTGCGGCCTCTACGACACGGGCGACGGCAACGACAAGAAGGGCGGCCGCGCGCGCCTCGAGTCGTCCACGGGCTTCGAAGCGCGCATCCTGCTCCAGTGCATCGCCCGGCGCGGCCACATCCACGGCTCGCAGCTCGCCAAAGACGCCTACTGGGGCTTCAAGAACGACCACCGGCTGCTCAGCGCCTCGTCGCGCGCGTTCATCAAGCGCGTGCACTCGGGCAAAGGCTGGCCGCACTGCGCTGTCAAGTGCCGCTCGATCGACGTGCTGTCGCTCATCCCGATCGTCGTCGCGCTGTACGCGGGCACGAACCAGCTCTTCACCAAAGTGGACGAGCTCGTCAAGGTCTTTTACGTCGGCACGCGCGTCCGCGACGCCGCGCTCGTGGCGGCCTTTGTGCTCGAGCAGGTGATCTTGGGCGCGTCGGTGCTCCAGGCCATGCGCATGAGCATCCGCACGGAGCGCCTGAGCGTCAAGCAGCGCAAGGTCATCTTCAAGGCCTTCACCAAGTCGCAGCTGCCGAGCTACGAGGCGATCCAGAAGTTTGGCAACCGCGGGTCGCTGCCCGGCGGCTTCCACGCCGTCTTGCAGCCGCTCTTCGTATTGAACGACTACCCGACGGCCGTGCGCGAGAACATCATTGGCGGCGGACGCACGTGTCGCCGGGCCATGTTCATTGGCGCGTGCTTTGCTGCGCAGGACGGCCTGGACGTCATCCCCGAAGGATGGATCGAGAAGACGCAGTACTTTGACTTTATCGAGGCCGATGCGAGCGCACTCGTGGGCCGGCGGGAGGTCCAGGGCTCGTTCACGGAAGACGACGAGCGCACTCGGCCCGCCGCCTACGTCGACTACGTGCCGCGGTCGTCCATGTCGTCGTCCCATCGCGCCGAGCGCGTCGAGTCGTCGCGCCGCAGCAGCAACAACAACAACAACAACAACTGTGCCGCGTCGTCGTCCGACGTGAACGCTGGCGACGCCGACATTGCGTCCGACATGCCACCGGACGGCGTCCCGACGTCCTCGTGTCGCTCCTCGGGGTTCCTCCGGCGGCGCTCGAACAGCTACGCGTCTTCGGGCGGCCAGTCCTCGCCGCGGTCGATCGCGTCCAACTTCTCGTACAACTCGCAGACGACGACGGCCTCGAGCGTGCGCTCGGTCATTGATCTGGGCGACATGGACAAGTTCTACCAGAGCGGCGTGGGGCAGTCGCTGCCGTCGTCGACGACGTCGCGCTCGAGCGGCGGCACCGATGGCCGCCTGAGCTTTGAGATGCAAAAGTTCTTCCAGGCGTACGGCGCTGCAGCCCGTCAGTCCCGGGGCTCGTACGGCGAAAACGGTTCGTACGGCAGCGGCTCGTCCACTGTGCGCTCGAGCGACTTGAACCCATTGCGGCCGAGCGACATGGCGCCGCTCATGCGCCGGAGCTTTGCGTCCGCCCATCGAAGCGGCGGCGGCGGCGACCATCGGAACGATCTGCGCCATAGTTACATTGCGAGCTCCCGTCGCAGCGACACGAGTCTCATGTACGGGAACCAGCAGCACCGCTACTCGGGCAAAGTGTCCCGCGTGAGCGACCCGAACGCGTTCTATCGCCATTCGTCGTCGATGCCGGCGTACGCACCCGAAACGGAGCGATCGGAAGACGTTGTGCTGGCGCATCGCGTATCGCTGGACGACGAACAGCGCGTGAGTTTGCACGCGATTCTCTAGACGGACAGAAGAGGATGAACAGGAGAAGAGCGAAGGACGGACAGAAGAAGCGGATGGACGTTGTCGTACGGGACGTTGTCGTACGGGACGTTGTCGTACGGGACGTTGTGACGCGGCTTCCGGTCGAGTCGAGTGTCGTCGCTGTGACGAGGAGAACGAATGGACGACAGTGGTGGGGATGAACGGGTGGATGAGCGGATGGAGAGGTGTTTTAATTTATTGGCTACGAGTGCAGCAAACGCAGGAAGGAGAACCGGTCGCAACATGGCAGAGTATGCCGACCGAGTGACGAGTTAGCAGGTAGATAGGGCGAAGAGTGTCGCGCGCGTGTGTATGTGGCGGCGAGTCAGAAGGATGAGTCGCAAGAAATAGGCACATGTGTTGATGATTGCTGAATGTATGAATGTATTGCTGGAGCGAATGTATTGCTGGAGCGACTGTGTTGTGCGAGGTCGTTGTGGTGGCGGTAGGTGGATGTGTACGGCGTAGGGTGAGATTGGTAAGAAAACGACAGCTGTGAGGTTTGAACTCACGCGGGTTACCCCAATGGATTTCAAGTCCATCGCCTTAACCACTCGGCCAAGCTGTCCCATGTCGTAGCTCGAGCACAACCACATACACATACACACAAACATAAACCGCACAACCACATACAAACACATACGAACACAAACCGCATGACCACAAACCACATATGAACACACACCTTTCACAGACACGAAGCACATGCAAACCACACACACAAACACAAAGCACAGACAACACATTCCATTTCGAATCACAAACCACATACCGAAACAAACCACAGACAAACAAACGTCCTTTTCAACCACAAATTACACGCGCACAAACCGTATAGAAGCCCACACGATTTACAAGCACAAACCACAAACCACATTGAAACAAACGCAAACCATTCACAAACACAAACCCACATTGAAACGAATGCAAACCATTCACAACACACAAACCATCAAACTACATACAAACACAAACCAGTTACATTGCACACATTGTACTGGATGTACTTACCAATCGCACATCGTCATCGATAGCCCCCGAATCAATACACATACAAAAAAACACAACATGCAAACATCCACAAACGAATGTCTGCGCTACATACAAACACGCGCACAACGACAAAGCTATCACTATCTGGTTCAAACTGCCACGACTACTGCTATCATCATCTTCTCAGACGCACAAAGGACGCAGTCGCGACCGTGGCATACCCGTTGACTTGTACGCAGACAGACAACTTGCGCACCGACAAGCCAATAAACAAATAGACGTACCGTCAAGCAAATGGATACACAGACGCACCACGAATAGACGGGTGGACACTGCGTCTTCTTGTCGGTCCTTTTCGGTACAGGCAGCTCGTACGACATTGATGTGACTGCCTGGCTGCACTGCCCGCTCGGAAACCCGTTCGACAGCCTTTCTTCCAGGTGACCCACCCACAATGTGCAGCAGGAGAGATCTTGCATGCTCTGTGCCGCCACGACGGCACCACCCTGCGGCACCACGTCCACTGTCCTTCCTTCGTACGTCCGCGACCTCTGTCCCTCCAACGTTCGAATGACCGGCCGACCGAAGCTGTCACCTCACCCATCTCTGCCTGCTCTTTACTTTCGCTCAAGATGATACGCCACACGACTGTGTCACTGAGTCGACGTGTCTCACGATCCACGAGCACACGCTGCCACTTGCACCGATCATTGTCTGCCGTTTTCTTTCCGCCTGAGGAGACTCTGCCCTTTGGTCCTTCGCGACTATTGTCGTGCTACTTTGTGAGACACCGTTGTGTTTTCGCCACTGTGGTGTAGTGGTAATAGGTACGAGCAGACCGTCAACAATCAGCAGGAAAAAAGATAAGTCTCTTATGCACCATCTACTCGTCCACGGACGTTGCGTCCGACACGTGACGAACGACGTCAAACGTCGGACACGACACGATGCCACCTTCGATGGAAGGGATCCTGACGCTTTTGCGCACAAAAAGCTCCATGCCACTGTCTGAAGCGGGTCAGAACGTCATCACGCACGACCTGCACGTGACCTTTTGTCTGCGGAGGTATACGGAGAATCTACGCTGCGACTCAATGGCGATCGCATCCTCAACTTCTCAGCTACATCTTTGGACCGAGTCAATGTTGCAGCATCTCACTAGTCAAAGGGTCTCGTCAACCTGCGGCGAGAATGGGTCGCTCACGAAGGATGCGAAAGATGCGAATGACGGACAGTCGACTTGTGAATGCACGTGGAGCTGTGAACGACCGACCGATCTACAGCGAGCAAGCAGGATCTTCTGGTGTCGGTCGAGTGGCGCTGGTACGAGGATAATGTGGCAGCCGTGATGAGCTCGTCGTCAATTACGGATAAACTCGATGGAGAGGTTGTGAGAGAATGCTGGCAAACTCCCGATTGATTTTCCTGTTTTTGTGCACTTGTGGATCTGGCTGGATATCTTGCTATCGAGCAAATGCAATGGTGCAATACGAGACACTATCCTCTTCGTGCCCGACGATATGCGCCAAGTTGGCTGATACTGAGACACGACTTCGGAGATCGAGCTGTGGCTATCTTCGAAGGAGTAGTTCTTTTGCAGGAGAAAAAGGCACGAGAGGCAACTTTTTTCGATGTGGAAAGAATTATAAATCGCCGGGATATCAAATCGATCTACGACTGAAACACGGTAAAGAATCAACGCACCCATTTGGTTTCTTACAATGTTTAAATCGTATTTAGACTTGATCCCCCATTTGGTCCAAACTCCAGATCGCGCCGAAGGTACGCATTGTACCAGGTGTGAGGGCAGTTGACATCAACTATAATCGCACCTATAGACTCTTACAAATTATAAGATGTACGATACGATTGCCGCTCACGCGCAGCAATTGTCAGTCGCAACAATTACATAGCGCAACTTCATCGGCTTAGCGCCATCGTGGTTCCCTGTCGATCAGTTGCTTGCGGCAAAGTGTATGATGATCACACCATATACTTTGCCACAATCTATAGCCTTCCACTTGTACGCTATAACGCCTCAAATTCAGACCTGCGATATACCACGCCAGCTTCGTTCCACAATGTAATGAGCTCCTTCAAAGGAGCATGACGACAAGGTGTTGCCATTATCAGCTACACCTTAGCTGGCAGTGGCAATCTACTCGCATGTGCACAATCGTGTGGCTATGAATCACATACGTGACACAGGCAGCAACGTGCATGCTGTAATCGTGCCGTACTTATGGAGCCGTGTGTGGTGCTCGTGCGTTCCGTATTTGCGCACGATATCCTCTCGCCATGTCATGTTTGGCTATCGACTCGACTGTATTCGACAAAACCAGCATGTGAGCAGCCGTTCTCTAGACTTGGAAGGATGGGCAGAAGAAGAGGAAGGAGGGGAAGAAGGGATGAACAGGAGAAGAGCGAGGGACGGGCAGAAGAAGCGGATGGACGTTGTCGTACGGGACGTTGTCGTACGGGACGTTGTGACGCGGCTTCCGGTCGAGTCGAGTGTCGTCGCTGTGACGAGGAGAACGAATGGACGACAGTGGTGGGGATGAACGGGTGGATGAGCGGATGGAGAGGTGTTTTAATTTATTGGCTACGAGTGCAGCAAACGCAGGAAGGAGAACCGGTCGCAACATGGCAGAGTATGCCGACCGAGTGACGAGTTAGCAGGTAGATAGGGCGAAGAGTGTCGCGCGCGTGTGTATGTGGCGGCGAGTCAGAAGGATGAGTCGCAAGAAATAGGCACATGTGTTGATGATTGCTGAATGTATGAATGTATTGCTGGAGCGAATGTATTGCTGGAGCGACTGTGTTGTGCGAGGTCGTTGTGGTGGCGGTAGGTGGATGTAGTACGGCGTAGGGTGAGATTGGTAAGAAAACGACAGCTGTGAGGTTTGAACTCACGCGGGTTACCCCAATGGATTTCAAGTCCATCGCCTTAACCACTCGGCCAAGCTGTCCCATGTCGTAGCTCGAGCACAACCACATACACATACACACAAACATAAACCGCACAACCACATACAAAACACATACGAACACAAACATACAAAAAACCGCATGACCACAAACCACATATGAACACACACCTTTCACAGACACGAAGCACATGCAAACCACACACACAAACACAAAGCACAGACAACACATTCCATTTCGAATCACAAACCACATACCGAAACAAACCACAGACAAACAAACCAGTCCTTTTCAACCACAAATTACACGCGCACAAACCGTATAGAAGCCCACACGATTTACAAGCACAAACCACAAACCACATTGAAACAAACGCAAACCATTCACAAACACAAACCAAACCACATTGAAACGAATGCAAACCATTCACAAACACAAACCATCAAACTACATACAAACACAAACCAGTTACATTGCACACATTGTACTGGATGTACTTACCAATCGCACATCGTCATCGATAGCCCCCGAATCAATACACATACAAAAAAACACAACATGCAAACATCCACAAACGAATGTCTGCGCTACATACAAACACGCGCACAACGACAAAGCTATCACTATCTGGTTCAAACTGCCACGACTACTGCTATCATCATCTTCTCAGACGCACAAAGGACGCAGTCGCGACCGTGGCATACCCGTTGACTTGTACGCAGACAGACAACTTGCGCACCGACAAGCCAATAAATAAATAGACGTACCGTCAAGCAAATGGATACACAGACGCACCACGAATAGACGGGTAGACACTGCATCTTCTTGTCGGTCCTTTTCGGTACAGGCAGCTCGTACGACATTGATGTGACTGCCTGGCTGCACTGCCCGCTCGGAAACCCGTTCGACAGCCTTTCTTCCAGGTGACCCACCCACAATGTGCAGCAGGAGAGATCTTGCATGCTCTGTGCCGCCACGACGGCACCACCCTGCGGCACCACGTCCACTGTCCTTCCTTCGCGTACGTACTCCGCGACCTCTGTCCCTCCAACGTTCGA